TTTAGGAATGTGTAGCTTTATCCTGCGAGCGGTGTCTCTAGGTACTGATGCAAAATTTAAATGCAGAAAAATATTTCACGCGAAATTTTCCATAATAATTTTATTCAACTGCATCGAGCTTTAATTATAGATCACGTGCAAGGACCATCATCACTGATACAGCTTTACGTTACAACCGAGTTTGAAAGTTTTCCACATTAAAACGCGGACTTTACATAAGCAATTTTTGCTCATTAAATGTTCTTAATGATGCTACCAAGAATATTTAAATTAATACCAAATATGGTGCCATGCGGCACCGATAAGCAGCAAGCCACTATTTACACACATCTTATTTGCTGTTGAGTTTGCCGAACGAAAAGAAATGAAGTCGCTCTCGATTCCAAGCCAAATATTAGATAAATGAAAGAAATGCAAATGATTTCAAAAACACTTGCTGCAATCTAAAAAATAGGCAACAGAAATATATGTCCCTGACTCGGTAAAAAAAGGTTATTTTTTAGTAAATGCAATAATCCAGACATTGATTAGAAATGAACCTAATCTTAAACAGCAATTTCAAATTAAATAGTTTTTATCACTATTGATTATTCTCTCTTAATTCTTATAACCATATTTAACGTGGCCTTAATTTTATAATTTTCATCACTATTCCAATTTTAGCAGAAATTGTCAACCTACATCTATCATTGAGAATTAAAATTGCATTAGTGAACTTATCAGAGCTTAAAAACTCACTACGTCTGAATTCTCGCGCCAGTTACCTCCTGCAAAAGCTGCATTGCTTCAATAATGAGGTGCCCGGTAGGCCACATTCCAATTATGATCTGCTTGTTTTGTACTGCGTTTGAATTAAGGCTGCTCGGGCCACAAGCGCGTAGGTTATCTGCTCGTTTGGCGTTTTAAACGAGCAGCTGAGAAGCTGCATCACGCGGTCGCTGTTTGTCGAGGCTGAACGACGATATTACGTGACTTCATGAATAAGAGTTCAGATTTCTAATAATGTAATACATAAATAGAGTTAGAATTTATTTTCACCGGTAAATAAAATAAGTTATGCAAGCTTATTGCACGTACGGGCAACATTAATGTGAGTTTTATTTGCACATATTTTAATTTGCAGGCTTACTTGCTAAAGAGTCTGTGGTAACTAATTAAAAGGATTTGATTAATATTTTGAGTGTAACTTGGCAGAATTTAGTTAGTTGGAACGACAAAGTAGTTTGTACTTTATGATCGGATACAAATTCTTGAACTGTATCTCACTTATTTATCTAATTTTAGATAGTGGTGACATACCGAGTTCTTATATTGTTGGGGGACTATATCTTAATAAACTGACGTCTCCTCGACACATAGCACGTAATCTTTCTTCAAGACTTCAATCAACTTTTCAAGACCAAGGATTTTCAATAAATTAGCAGTTGAGTGTATATATAATTAAGGATGAATAAATAGAAACGAATAAATAGAAACAAACACAACGAACCTAACACCCTAATCCTAACCTCACTTTAACTTTAATTGACCGTGAGTTTCCATCACTTTCAATTCACTTCAAAGTTCAATGATCGAGTACAAATATCGATTTCAAATATTGAGGCCTTTCTCCACGTCAAGATCACTAGACACAATGATCGACAAAGCGAAATACTGTTGGAGAACACGGCTAAGGTGATTGAAAACTGAAAATGAAAAACCGAAATCTTATAAACCGAAATATTAGGTTTATAATACATTGCAATTTAGAAATCAGCAGTAAATCTATTTCCTCTACACTATTATGTACAAGTGCGATTTTTTGAATGGGTTAATAATTGAGGCTTGCTCAAACCCACATGTTTTCAAGACCAAGCTTTCAATAAATGTGTGATAATGAAAAATATATACCAACAAAATTCATGAAAAAATGAATTCATGGTGAAAGGAAAAAAGCCTTAAATGGTATTTGGAAATTATGACATTAACATAAAATATTTAAAAAAATATCTAAAAAAGTGAGTGGAATTGTTCGAAAAATGTAGGTACGAGGTTTTTAATATGAAAAAGTGAACTTCAATAGTCAGACAAAATGCGCATAAAGTGAATGAAAATGTTTGAAAATACACAAAATGATTGTGAGAATCGAATGCTTTGGCTCCTCATGAATATCAACCTTACCTTCCCGTCAGAGAAGCTGAATAAATGCGACGATGGCATGCCAGTCTCCCGTAACGTGGCAGACGCGAAAAGATCGAAGCAACTAAACTCTCAATTGCCCGAGAAGCTTTGCGACAGTTCTGTTCGTGGCAAAGACGGTTTGAAAACTTGTTCGTAAGAGTTACGTGTAAATCGTGGCAAAGACGGTTCCTGAATTTGTTCATGATAGTTCCGTGTAAACCGTGGCAAAAACTGGTCGAAAATTAGTTCGTGAGAGTTTCTTGTAAATCGTGGCAGAGACTTCGAAAATTTGGTCGTGAGAGTTTCGTGCAAATTGTGGTAAAAGATGATCGAAAATTGTTGTCTACATTTTCCAATAAATCGCATACCTTGTATTAACAGCCTGCTATGTTTTACAAAAAAGTAGCTATTTCTTGCTATAGAAGTTTTACTTTTGCAATGCTAGGAACGAGGGCACAGTGATTATGGCGTGTCCAGAGGGAGCCTCCCTCCACACGAGACAGTTAGCTTGCTGATGGAGTTCTGATGACCTATAATGAATGTAGCCCAGCTGCAGCACACTCGCTGACCGAGCTGACCAGTCAGCGCTGCAGGTGATGAATGCGGCACTGCCAGCTACAGCACACTTGCTGACCGAGCTGACTTGATAATTCTGAATGTTCAGCGCTGCATGTGATGAATACAGCTCTGCCAGCTGTAGCATACTTGCAGACCGATCTGACTTGATGCTATTGAATGATCAGCGCTGCATGTGATGAATGCAGCTCTCTGTCAGTTGTAGCACACTCGCTGACAGAGCAGGCTCGAATGTTCATGCAGGACGTGAAGTTAAAATTTCGATTTAACCAGAATGAAGGATAATAAATATACATTTGCATTATTCAAATAAATTTTTTTCCTCATGAACTCTGATACCGCCTACAAAAATTAAAAAAATTGTTATTGAAAACGTAGCAACAGATTTCATTGTGGCAATAAACGTAATTTCTTTATTACAGTTGTTCTTTGAATAATATTTTTTATTAAATACTATCTGTTTACAACTAACTTACCCCTAGTCAACAAACCACCACACAGTAAGACACTCTTCAAGCCCTCAATTCATCAGTTTTATAGCGCAGCCGCACCGCAGACACAAGAGACGCTCGTTCTTTCTGGTCCACAGGAAGGCAAAGCATTGTTATTCCACGCCACGGCCCACATCAGGGCAAGTTATTGCCGTGCGCTGCCTCCTGCACTTGTGAGGGACTACTGCTCGGCTTAGTGCTCAATGAACTTCTGCGTGGCTGTTGCTGCGAAGGAAATAGGTGAAAAAATTATGGAACTGAGGCTCACTTAATTTGTCTCAACTTTAAATACAATATTTTGTCAATAAAGCCACTCTATATTATAAAATTCAAGTACTAGAATTTTTTTAATGCTGTAATGACAAAAGTACACTTTTTGCGACGAGAGGATTACATTATTGTAGTCCAATTCTGACAATTGGTCAGAATGGGACTAAAATTGGGGAATTAACGAGAAGGGTTTTATTAAGTCACACGTAGCCAAAAATCACTTCAGTTCAGGCAATGTGAAGCATTTAATTTAGTTCCCATACATCGATGGGAATTTCGTGCATGGGAATATTAAAAATATCAAAAAAGTTAGTACTTTTTCGTAGCTAATCAGGCTAAACAATAAGATGTTAAGTGTGGAATTATTGTTCCAGCCTGACGAAATCAGACTTCTTACAATTACCGGCTATAAATCAGATGAATGGATTTCCAAAATAGCAGCGGTGAGTTGAGGGTTCTATCCCACCTACCTGCGACAGTTCTGTTTAAAAGCGGCGTTGTGGTCATACGCTGATGGACCGCAAAATTGTAGCAGTGAATTGCATGTTCGAGACCCGCAGCAAGCTGTGAAAAATCTTCGATGTTCAGAATCAACGACAAGTCTGATGACATCAATGCAACCACCGTTATTACTACTATTTATATCGATATGTCACCATTATTATTGTTTGCATGCCACCGAGAGTCTCTTTTCAACTTTTAAAGAGCTCTAAAATTTTTTTCAGTTCTGACATACAGGAATTAATGAGAAGGTTTGTCAGTAATCTAGTGCTTATTTATTATTTGATTTCAATGTGTAAAAGCCGTCACGTTAGCTCTCCGCTCTATGCGTAAAGATCGTTAGCGTCGCGATCGCAGCTACGGCCGCCGGCCAGTGGCATCAGGTGGCGCTAGTGCAACCAAGTCGAAACTTTTGTGTTCTTTGTTATTAACTTTGACAATAGCTTTTGTGCAGACTGAATACATTCCTGAAAAATAATGGCAGCTTTGCCTGCCAGGGGGACACAAAAAGACTAGTGACTAATATGGATTTTCCTTTAATCCGGACGAATATTCTCTGAAACACAACAAACGTTGATGCAAGTGTTGAAATAGTAGATATTAAAAAAATACTTTTCGAATTATTAGCCTCATAATTGTATTTTTTAACATAATCCAGCCATCTTGTTTACTCAGCTGGAAAACAGGACAGGAAATTCATCTGTAGCTTTGATTGTGTGTGTAATTCATCAGATAATTAATTAAGGAGAATGAAAAATATCCCCTTCCGTGGCAAGACTCAGGATTGGCGGAATAAATCGGTGCCGTAATTTTGACGGAAAATATTCAATGCTCTGAATATTCAAAGTTGGATAAACAATATTGGAATTTTTTATTTGGCTGTGCCTGTGATGCTCTTACGTGTACTGTTTAAACAGCCTTCTCATGTCAACTGGTGTGACTGAATTATAAGTCAATATTAAAATGTTTGTAGAACATTATTAAAACGTGAGGTGCGTGCAGGTGCTGCCTGGGTTGTACGTAGGCAACTTCAGAGACAGCAAGGACACGGGGCAGCTGAAGGAACACGGCATCACGCACATCCTCGCCATACACGACAATGCCAGGAAGCTGCCGTGCAACAACGTGAGTATGCAGTCTCTTGTCTTGTTGCACGGTTAATTTTAACCAAGAAGCATGACAACGCCAGGAAGCTGCCGTGCAACAACGTGAGTATGCAGTCTCTTGTCTTGTTGCACTGTTAATTTTGACCAAGAAGCATGACAACGCCAGGAAGCTGCCGTGCAACAACGTGAGTATGCAGTCTCTTATCTTGTTGCACAGTTAATCTTGATTATGAAGTACGGCAATGCCTGGATGCTGCCCTGCAAAAAAGTAAGTGGCTCTTGTCTTTTTACACTGCGTATCGTGATTAAGTAGAACAACAATGCCTGGAAGCTACCGTGCGTCAAAATATATATAGTCAATCTCACATTTGGAACTCAATTATTATGACTGCGACGTACCTTGACAAGCAATTTTAATGTGGCTGATCTAAGGGACCATTCAACACCGCAATGCCAGCTGCTTGCCCGACGACTGATTTGTTTAGCATTTTAATGGTTCAATTTTGAACCTCATCACTTACAGTATTTCACGATTCAAATGGAAATTTTTGGTTAGATCTCAGCAATGATCCGTGATAGAAACAGCAGCGGTAACGAAGAATTGGATTCAATAGATCTCTTACACGAATAAGTATTTGGCGTCCTCTTTCGTTGTCACGTTTACATGATTTGCCAGAACAGATTTGAAGCAATTGATCGATTTGCTGGAAAAAGTAACCTGGGCCAAATTATGTTCCAGGACAAAGAACATCTGTGCATCCTTGCGTCTGACTCGCCGGGCCAGAGCCTGATGCAGTTCTTCCCCGTCTGCAACGACTTCATCCACACCGCTCGGCTCAAGGGCGGCTCCGTCCTCATCCATTGGTGGATATACTAACTTTATTTATAGCACGTATTCTTAACTTTATATTCGAATGTTATGGGATAAACGAGAATACAACTAGACTTTTAAGTTTAAATAGCAGCAATTAGTATGAAGAAGTTTAATTGGCAATGAACATGTAAGTGGATGCTTCTTTCCGAAGAAGTTTTGTAAAGAAATAAAAATTCATCTTTTTACTAGGTCACCGAATAAGACGTTTAACAAAAGCCTTCCTTGCAACGTCGAACGTTCAAGTCATTTTTTTTTCTCTGAGACTCTTTCATATCATTAAAAATTTCATATTCGACATTGACACTGTTCAAAGGCAAGTTATTGAGGCTAAATCGACAGGTTCACTTCTTTACGGGCCATTTAAAACCTTGCTCAATATAGAATCAGCGTCATCACACATCAAAGGAAAATTTATAGAGGCTAAAAATTCTCACGGTTCATTAGAGGACAAACTTCGTTTCCGCAATAAATTCAGTGAAGGTCAGGAGGAATGGCAGGCCGAGCACTCAACTATCCTCCCGAGAGAACATCACGCCGGATTTCCTCAGGTCGTAAGCACCACGGGGATCTCACGTTTCAGTGAGTGATCTGCTGGTGTCGGAGATGCCGAGTCAGCGTAATTTAAGCGTCGCTGGAGAGCGGAAGCCCATGTGAAATCGACTGCCTGCATTCGTCCAATTTGATTTCAGCATTTTATTGACATGTGAAAAACCTCAATTTAAATTATTTTTACTCTTCACGATAATATGAGCGAAAAACGCACACATTAAATGTGTCGAACTCTGATTCATGTTATCTTAGATGCTACTTTTGATATCATTCAACAAGAAAAGATCGTTTGAATGAACATTAGTCTAAAAATAACTTGGTGTGTTCTATAAAACCGGAATGGTAAACCGAAAATTTTGCTGAAAAAGGGAGTTGTTCAAGCTATTTGAAGGATGGAGATCTGAAATAAGACATTTGATTTTTTTGCCCACTCCCGTAGAAATGAGAGACTTGTTCAAATTACGAGGCACTGGCGTACACTCCGCTCGCGTGTGAGGATACACACACTCTGCCTGCGCTGTGTGTAAGAAAATGTGTCATTATTTGGACAATTTGACCCATTTATTTGTATTGCTCTTCCTACGCACTCTTTAAATGGCTTCGTATCCTGCCTGGTTATATAAATACCCGGTACTTATAATGTTGGGATATAACATGGACCTGAGAATGCACCCATAGTGAGTGAATTGCATGGCATTGCAAAGCTGGGAGGACAAGATTTGATCAAAAATTAAAATTTATATTTTAAAATTGGTACTTAAAAATTTAATTAAAAGAACGTCAAATTTTTTGCTTTGTACTGTGCAACGAGATTAAGATGGTAATTTTATTTTTTGTGCAAATGGGATTTTTAACTTGCCAATCTTTGATTAGCTGTATTAATTATTAACGGCGTTTGGAATGACATGATTGGAGATTCTAAAATTACAAAATTATCGATGCAAAACTAGGCTTGGTTAACATGCCAATTGACAATGAAAGTTAACAAGCCATATCAATGGACTAAATGCAACGACAGTTATTATCCGAAATTAATCCACGTGTTCTCTTCCTAGTCCAGTGCGATGCCTTACTGGCATAGTTATTGGTGATCATTGAATTAAATTGAAGTATTTTACCCCAGCCTTGCGGGCATGTCACGCTCGGTGACGGTGGCCGTTATCTACGTGATGAGCGTGACGAGCCTCAACTGGCGTGACGCTCTCAACGCTGTGCGCGGAGCTCGTAACGTCGCCAACCCTAACGTCGGCTTCTTGAAGCAACTCAGCGAGTTCGACGCAGAGCGTCTTACCGACGTCTGTTTGAAAAAAACACAAAAAAGTTACTGTAGTTTGATGTAAAAACCTATATATCATGTAAAATATCAAAAACTTTTTAGGTGTTACATTAGTAAAAGATAAAAAGCTTATAAAATTTATATCAAGTATCAAAAATCTTTTTAAATCAAAAACTTTTTAGATGCTACATAAGTAAAAGATAAAAACCTTATAAAATTTTATATCAAGTAGAATATTTAAAACTAAAACTTTGATTTTCTCGTCGATTTTAGGAGGCTAATAGCGATTGACATAGAGGTGAAATTTAGCATTAATTTTTAAAATATGCTTTACAGATTTTCCGGCACTCAAAATTCCCAGAATTAACTCATACTTCAGATGTTTTAGCCTCATTTTTTATTTAATATTTGTGGACATATTGGACAAAATACTTTATTCGTGTTACACAATGTGCTCGGAATAAGCAATTTTTAAACTTTAATTATTTGTAGTCAACAAATATTTTTCCAATATCAGAAAATTCAAGTCATCACACATACTAATATCACTGAAAATTGGTATAGGTTATCATAAAGATAAGCGTCTTTCAAATTAGCCCGTAATTTCATTCACAAACATTAGACAAAAAAAAACCTTTTGAAAAGAACGCAACGTGGTGAACGCTATACCAATAATAGGCTATAATAATTTGGTGTACGTTAACCCCTTCCCCATTCCCCATGTCAACTGTTGACAGCACAACTGCGTCTGTGACGTTTTAAATGTACACGATATTTTTTTCAGGAGCGTCGTCGTCTGAAGGAAAAGTATCCTGCGTACGTAAGCATGATGGAGGAGGATGAGAGAGTAGCGCAGGAGTTCCTAGCATCCTACAACCTGTCCCTGAGCCTCGGACAAACTTGTGACGGCGAGTGTCCCGTGGGGTCGGTTTGTCCTAGAGGACTTTGCAACCAGCGCAGGAGGTTTGTTTGCTTCATCCTGTTGTGAATTTATTATAAATGCTGCATGTTATCAGCAACCTGCAATGGGCAACCAGCAAAGACAATAGGAACTGTAACTTGGTCAATAAGCAGCTAAACGCATCGGGAGCTATTACCATTGTGATGTTGAATGAAATTTTAAATTATTTTCAAAATATAATTTATTTAAATTTGAGCAAAAGTAATCACAATAGTTGGAACTCAAGCATAGTTTAGTTTTTTTTCAAATTGTGGCCATTAAATTATCAAGGCCCCTAAATTAAAACAGCGTACGCGCTCAAGTTATTGATAGGGTAGTGGTCAAAAATTGACCTTGTGCTGCTCATATTGCATGTGTCTCATTTACGGAAGTCGTCAATTGATTATTTCAGTTACATCCGTAATTGAATCAGGAAAAGCGATAACTTATCGAGTATTTTGGAGTCGCTGAACAATTTTAAAAATGTTAGTATACGTAGCCCTATCATATGTAACATTTTCCTACAACGTCTACAACGTCATCTCTTCTTCCATTTTTAATCACGAGTAATTGGTTACTCATGTTCCGTTTCCTTAAGTTAACGAAGTTTTAATATTTTCACTGAAATGACGAAAAGTCTTATAATTTTTTAGTTCGCGTTTATTTTTTATCCACATTTGTTGTAATAGTTTTAACTTTTTATCATTTGCTCCAGCTTGTTCAGACGCTCGACGCCTAGACCGACCTCGATGGCACCTCATAAGAAAAAATAACGGCCAACTGAGTATATATTGAGCGTTCAGTTGATTGCTTTAATTTACCTATATTTATTGTGCTCGGTTTTGGGCCGCAGTCTTCCTTGTTTGATGCTTTAGTATTCTGCCTTCCCTTTCCATGCTCCTTCCTACCCTTAATTGCTGGACAAGCACATCAAAAGCAGTCAAATAAAGTGAACTTATATTCACAAAAAATAAGTTGAAAAGTGGGTGTGAATCCTTGTTTCTTCTTGTAAACCTTAAAGCTTGTTTTTAATTTTAAATGTTCATGTAATCTGAAAGAATTGAACTATAACATACGAATAGATTAAGAACACAGAAAAGTTAATTTGCGTCAGCAGTATTTTTAAAATATTTGTGTTATTTTGTAAATTTTTATTATTTGGTGCTTTCGATTCGTGCTTGCTTACAGCGGTGGCTGGGTGAAATGTCCTACTTCAACGTAGCACCTGGTCTTCTTCCGTAGCCTGTAAAACTTTTGAGCACATCAGTTGATAACTATTGTACAACAACAACAAAGCCGCATAGAGTTAATACTTCATTTTTAGTAAAGGATATGGGCCCCAATAAAATTTATAAAATGTTGCGCGTAGATAGGCAGAGCACAACCATGGCTCAATATCAATAGCTCGAATGTCAGCTGTAGAAATTGCAAACATACATATACGGTAGTTATTGACAAGTTAAGTAGCTTCAAACAACGGTCGTAAAGCGTTGTTTTTGAATATCAATTTAATATAGATGTCTTATCCTCCGCATGGAGTTTTGCATCGTATCATTGTTTTAAGATTACTTGGATGCTCGCTAAAAATAGCTGGTAAAATACAATAGTTTAGTTTTCAATCACTTATAACCACCAATTTGAGGGCATGTGTAGGCAGAAAGTGAAAAAGATTTGAGTCATATTATTATTTACTGTAGAATTTAATTTTTCGTCTCACATGTTTTCTTAATACATCACGATAAAAATCATGATTAAATCAAGAAACAGATGTACCAAAAATTTTTTTCTTGGTTAGTTCAGAAATAATCCTGTGTATGGTTAACTAAAATTTCACAGCCTCTTATAATAACTTCACATATTGCAAACAACGCACATTAAATTTTTGAACCAGGCCAGTCGTGCTTCAATAAATCTCTTAATTGTTCTATGACCTTAGGAATAAAACCTAACCCCACCTCGAGCGTGGCCCACAGCGGCACATTTCCAGACGCAGCAGCTGGGAAGTTCACGGTCACCACAGCATGTCGTTCATTGATGCACTCACTATATTGCATTGAGGGTGCAAATGAGCGCTCATTCACCACTAACCTCTACCATCAGACTTGGTTTAGTTTTGCGTGTGGACTACTAACTAATAGCAAGGAATACCTTTTAATATTTTATTGTTTTCAACTAAAAAGCTGGGAATTACAGCTGATTGTCATGTCTTCATTATATAGTTGAAGATTAACTATTTTAGTAAAATCTACGTACTAATTTTTGCGCTTATTGATGTGCGAGTCTTACTTGAATGATAAAGAACAATTTATTATCAAGCACATGATATCAGGTTTTTATTTCATTCGAGTGAATTCTATTTTTTGGCAGCTTGTAAATTTACAGATAAATTAAAACCTTTTTTTCAGAAGCGGGATATTTCGTCGAAGCGCAAAAGAGAAAGCAAGCCGTCCAACGACATCAGCGAGTGCCGTCCTCTCAAGAAACAATTCGGGATCTTTGCACAATCTACCGGAAAGTCCGAGTGCCGTTGGTCCCCCATCTGGATCTCCAGCAGGACCGTTAACTGAGCCAACTCCCCCTCCTTCCCCGTCCAAAAGTAAACTCATTAATGATGAAAATAAGTCTCCTACAGTCAGTAATAAATCAACACCTCCAGTTTCTCCTACTAATTCTCCTAAGCATGGCATAACGGGCATTAGTCAATACACGGCCCCTGGGTCACCTTCTCGGAGCTACGGGTACTACACTTCTTCCAGCGCGGAACTTACGCCTCCAGGTTCACCTTATAAGGGGAGAGTCAGCCAGACCACTGGAATCACGGTTTCAAACAAAAGCAATACCATCGTTTGGCATCAAGGTACTCCTCCAAGTTCCCCGAAGCGATCCGTACGTAAATCAAAAGTATCGACGTCAAGCTCTTCGACAATAGCTGAGACATCACCGAAATCTTCGCACCACATAACTGTATCCGCTAACAAATACGTATTGCAAGCTGCTTACAAAGAAGTTGGGGAGAGAACTCAGAGCACTCCAGGGGTAAAATTGAAATCGCAATCGGTCTCTCGAGGTAAAAGATCAAAAGCTGAAAATATTAGCAAGAAAAGTGATGACACTCTTCTGCCTCGGCGAGAAGAAAAAGTTCATTCTAAACTTCCTGGAAGTAAATTAGACAATGGTGGGTCGATAAAAATGAGAACAGAACAGCCAACGGTAATAGTTCACATCACGTCTCCAACATCCCCCAAACAAATTGAGCCATGTTCTGCTGTTAAATTGACAAGCAAAGATACAACACAGGATCCTGAACATAATAGCTTGAAGCGAGTTAATTTTGCAAGAAATCCCACTTTAAAAAAATTAAGCATGGGCCCCAAAACAAATGCTAACGGAGTTCAACGCCAAAATTCTTTACCAGACGACGGCCTTTTGCATCCGTGCGCTAAAATTCATTCTATTGACCCCTCAAGGAATGACAGTCGAAAACCTCCTCTTCGACGAGCGTCCACACTCACAGCCGAAGCACCCGAGAAAAATATTAATGTGACCCCCGAGGCAGTAACTCACTTTGCAAAATTGGATGGAACGATGAGCGACAATTCTTTCAACAGCGCAACATTGAGCTATGCCACATTATTTTACACTCCCAGAGCTAGTTTGCGGTCCATAAACGCTCCATACTCTCAAAGAAGCACAGAAAAATCATTTTCACCACACGATTCCACTTCGACGCACCCAATCAAATTTCCTCCTCCAGTGACAAGCGCCGGTCCCAGAGCACGGCACGCCATCATCGCTCAAAGCAGCCCCTGTGGTAGACCATCGAGCTCAACCATTCTAAGGCAACGCTTTGCAGCAATAAATAGCCACAGTTTTGACTTAGACACAAGGAATATATCAGAAAAAATCGTGAAAGTTAATGGTACTGTAGTCAAGAGAACTTACAAGATAAATGATAATTTTGACGCTGCTTTGAACAACGCCCCGTCAATGCCTCATCTCTCAGTAACACGAGATGTTGCGAAATGTGGTAAGACAAATTCGAAGGAAACTATAAGTATTACAAGTGATAATGACTTCAATCTAAATTTTTCTGGGTCGAAACATAAGACTTCCAGCCATGCATTAAACTTATCAAATGGTGTTAACTGTAAGATGTCAGAAGTTTCTTCAGTCCACAATAAAACTTACTCTATTAGCTCTAACTGCAACAGAGCGCCTCATGTGGTCTCAGCAAAACGAACTTTAGAAAGAGACAGTGGAACCCGAAAGGAATTTTGTTCTAGCCAATCAAAGCTTAACTCTAACAGTTTGAAAAGAAGAAACAGTCACGATAATAATCGCTCAACAGGCAAGTCGAACTTTAGTCCCAAAATGGGACCATATAACATCGGCAGAGATCCAATGGAAGAAATAGAAACATCGTCATGCACATCGAATTCATCAGTTTGTAGCTCGTTCAAGAATAATAATTCTTCATGTACCAGCGATCAAAACCCGGGGTCAACTTCATACACAAACAACAAAACTTCTTCCAAGGAAATTTCTTCACCAATGCAATCTGATATGCAGAAAAATTTGCCAAATCCGAAGCACGGCCAAAAATTAATGTGTAGGCCCGTTTCTAGACCAGCTCAAGCATCTAACCAAGAAGTTTCGTCCGCTCGAGTTGCCAAAGAAAATTCGAAGCCTTCGGCCTCCTTTCACTTGATTCAAACTAAGTCAGCATCGTGCTCTCCTCCAACAACTCGAATATGTCAAGCTTCTGAAGTGAAATGTCCTATAAGAACAAGTTCGACGTCCAATGTGCCTTCTTGGATGAGGCAGACCATCAGCAGGATTTTGGCCTCCACCAGTCCTCCAAATTTGCGCAAGCTTAGTGCGCCACGGCGACAGGTTTCGGCGTCGAGTCGGGATGCATGACAGTGTTCCTGTCGTCTTGTTTGTTAAGTGTGTTACCAAATTATTCTGATTAATAAGTTAATTACCAAGTCGGAGCTCAATACTTTTCTTCATCATAACCGGCTGGCCCGACTAACCAAATATGATTCATTAAACTGCATTTCGATTATTCAAATTTGGCCCATATATGCGGCTGATTCCATTTACCGGAATCACCTGTTCTTGAGTTGTGAAACTGTTGGAAATCTCAGTCCATCAAGTTCTTCTTTCACGAAAAGCGGAACGTTGGATATTTTCTAACATCTATAGACCTTTCATTTTTTCACTAATGAAATTTTGAATTTGGGAACTATTTAGGCAAGTTTTCTGACATCAAATTAAGAAGAAGATGAATCAAATAATAATTTATAAATGCTATTGATAAATCAAAATCACAAACATCTTTTCATTAATTAGTCGATTGTGAGCTGTTTTAGATTCTAGATGACACATGCATATATAAAATGAGCATTGAATGTAATGTATTTACCTTCTCTTCAACGGCTTTGAATTCAGCAAAATATAATCTGAAAAGTTTGTTTCCTCATTGTTTCTGAGTCGAAATAAAAATAGCATTTCACAAGAAGATTTCCAAATCATGCACTGTTTATAAACATCTGGAATCTTTGGTCATTTGAATATATACTATAGAATTGTAATAATCAATCAATTTAAATTAATTGAAACCAATTTATTGAACTTATAGGTCATTTTCTGATATAATAACCGGCTGGCCCGGATTAACCACGATAGGATTTACTGAATACGATAGCTTTCATAAATCAAAGATTATAACAGATCATAAACATGCTAAGGTCGTGTCGCTATCATGAGAAAAGTCGATGTTTACAAATACTTTTAGATCTAGTGTGAAGTTACGGTAATATTAAATGATATAATGGGATAAAAAGTTGATGATAACAATTTTTACACTGGCTTAGAATAAACCAATGAAGAAATTCAGCAACAAATTCGTCTTAAGTTTTGCAATCGGCATCTAAAGCTTCATTTAACTATACATAGCGTATAGACTATCTTTGATTCCAGGATGTGTTTCTATTTAGAATAAACTTGCGAGCTACTGAAAATCTTTATCGGATGACGACTGGACGAGCTCTACAACGTCCTTGCATGTATATCAAACATTGAACTCTAAGCTGCGTGCTGGCTTTAGTGATGTTAGTGCCCTTCAATTTTAACGGTAGTTCCGTGGTAGCAAGAGCAGCGTCTGTGCACTTCAATAATTAAGGTTGTTGCTGATAGCATAGTGATGTCAGTGATAGCATAGTGATGTCAGTGATAGTTAGAATAGTGATGTCAGTGCCCTTTACAACTTTGGTCTTATTGCCCTGCAATGTAGGCGCTTCCGCAACCGCATTTAGTCTAGAGAACCATGTCATTATAATATTTAGTAGTATTAAATATAAATCAATTATTGCTTAGGGTTGTGAACGTATAGCCATGCGATCATTTTCTTGGAAATGTGAAACTGTTCGTGAAATATATATTAGGAACTGTAATTAATTAGAATTTTGATGAACCGCGTTTTGACCAATTTTCTATCATCGCTGAAATTTTTCGTTCTGGTGCCTGTCATTACTTGTGACAACATTGCTTCGGATCCAATTGAACTAGATCTTGCATGGCGTTCGCGTTGGATTAGAATATTATGAAGTATTTAATAGAAATAATGAACCAATTGACGATCGGCTTCATTTTTCCAACGTAACTTAAACCTAATTTCTATGCACTCAAAGAAGGCTCAAATGAACGGACTGGAATAAGTAACAGCACCGTCAGCTTATATTATAATCATCATACCAGCTTATACCATTTCGAAATATCCTCGTTGAATAACAACGAAGTGTGAAATGAGGATCTTTTCGTTCAAGCTTATTTAGCACGTCCACGCACAAGCAATGAATATAAGTATTTTTAATGGTGGTTTGCAAAATCAGATATTTTTTGAAGAAGTTAGCTCCCCTACAAAAGAAGCTATGAAAAAAATCTTGGACGATGAACTGCACCTGCTTCCTTGGCAACTTTTTTAAGTGCATTTATTGCAATGGAGTCTCAATATTGCGAGCGAGCATCTCGCACGATTGTTGTCACTTAATAGCAATTTTAATCTTATGAATTATTGAATGATATCTTTAGAGCATCGAGTCTTTCTCATAGTTTTAGGAGTAGATGCTCAATACTGTAGATTATTGCTAAGAGAATTTACGGAAACTCTTATCTATCATTCCAATAAAATTACTTGAAAATTTTAGAGCATGGAAGCGAAACAAAAGTAACTTGTGAATATGCCTCATTATCTAGCTTGTAACTTTGTTAAACTAAGGAAAATATTGTCAGAAGGCGTTGTCGATTGTGGTTGTGTTTAGATGTCCCTAGGTTGTGATAAAACTTGAATTGAAGTTTTTATGCCGTTGAAAAAGACTTGAAGTGACTGGAGCATCTTCAGCATTATAATATTTATGAAATTTACGATGTTCATCATATTGATGTTATTGTGAAGTTATTGCAGATAATTTTAAAAAACTTTTTATGAATTAAGAAATCAGATTGATGACAGCGTCCAATACCACCGTACCAATTATCGTAAGGTTATTATAAATAACATTGCAATAAATAACACACCTCGCAAAAGAGTTTTGGAAAGAGTTAAGAATTTTTGAGTAAAATCCGAGTATATTATTCATCAATTGAGTTCATTCTACTTATCTATTCAAAAGCCTCCGATCGATTGTATGAACAAAAAAGCTATGATGAGTACGGAAAATATATATTTCGTCACTTTTCACTAATTAATTAAAGTATGTGCATCACTGGTAAGAAAATAATATATACTTCAGAATAAATATAATTATCAGATATTTCTCAATTGAGTAATTTATTGTCCAGTCATTGTAGCTATTACGTATAAGATAATTTATGTTTTATCAATAATATCTCTAGAAATTATCAACCTTCGCAAAACATATCCCACCGACCTCCACCGACCTGCTATCACAGGCATGCATTTGCAAAGCAGCACATATTCTCACCTAAAACTAAATAAATGAATACACTTATCATGATTTGTGTTAATTTCCTTCAATAAACACCTAACTTTTAATACTAAACAGAAATTGTTACTTATGTATGACTCGAAGTTCATTCCTCAAATTGATTAATTTTATTATTAATTCAGCGCACGTTTTTTAGTAATACCATACACGCATCTATAGGTGTTACTTAGGGAAATCATTGAACCCATTCTCAGATCATATCATTCGCCGACAGTTGAATGAATAATCGCTAAATGTAAATTTGATGTGTAACAGAAAATCTCCCAGCTGTGATCCTTCAAAATTTCGTTTTACTGCCTGTCTCATTGCCCGCACTTCAAGGCGAACAAAGTACCTAAGCAAATTGCAGGTAGAATGGGTGACATAACTCAAATGAAAAATAACTGGAATGAAAATAAATTCCTGCACCAAGAGCATTCTTTTGTTCCCCATTGTGTCCTGCAAACATTTCAGCCTAAGTTGGTTGTGGCTAATTCCTGTCTTTCACTTTCAAGGAGACCACATGGGATTAGCAACGTAAAGTGTTCCGGAGTCCTGTCACTAAAAATGATATTTATTTACGAGATTCGAATAAAATATTATTGTCAATTTGTGGCTTAAAACAGTCAATAGGACCAGTGGCTTTTAACTTCTAACAAATAAATCGTTTTTAGCTTCAATTGACGTGTGCAGTGATTCTTTTGCCAATGGCTTTTATTGCGCCATCATTGGCCAGGGTAACCGCACACCCTCCGTCCAATTGCAGCGTCCGGCGTCTGGTGACGCGTCCGTCGCAGCGCCACGCCAGGGACGTCCACGCGGTCCATTCTACCCCCAACTGCACTCGTGAGCAAGGCATTTAATGCGCGCCGTGAACAATTTAGTGTCATTCGCGTTTTACTTTCCTGTTACGTTTTGAAGCGTCAACTATTAGCGTCCGTTTTGAAGCGTCAACTATTATAGGCTCTGACTTTGGATCTAAAATAAAAAGTTTAATTTTAACACATGTGAAATGAGTAGACGCGGAACTCTCTAGACGAGTTTCAAACTCCTTGATTCCGTAAAACGTGTAAAGTTAACTAGTACGACAGGTATACTTCTGTAGCGCTGCCGCGGGGTGAGTAACACAAATATGCACTTCATTTTACCCGGATTGGTTTTTTTTCTTCTGACGGTTGTTCTGTTCGAGGCTCTGCCAAAGTCCAATGCTTCTTCGTCGGCTGAATTATGCGGCTTGTCGGGCTGCCATGCGGTCGACATTGCAAAGAAATACACCGAGCAAACTATGCACAAGATGCTCAAGATGATCAAACCTGAGGCGCTCGAAGAAGTCTTTCAGAATATGGAAAGAATGGAAGGTCTCATCACTAAAGTAGACGACTTGGCGCGCGAAGTCGAGAGTCTCTTCCAGCCTGGTGAGTTGAGAGTTTTATCGAAAATTTTTGCCTTCTGATGTAAAATATTTTTCAACTATTCCTGGTAAAGATTTTACTCCCCTCTACTCTGATAATGAAGATAACGAATTTATCATCAATTTCATTAATTTTTAAATTCAATTGTATGTAAACCATTCTAGCTTCTATGGTTTCATTCATGTTTCAGACGTTACTCATTAGATCTTTCAATGAAAAATGGACATGCGCGGTTTCTCATTCGCGTTTAAAATTATAATCGAAGTGACTCGGCCAATAATTGAGTTAACTTCTGACGACTATTCATTACTGAAGAGGAACCGTTATTGATGAGTGATTTTGAGTGAGTGCAAACATGTTAACCAATGCATTTTCAATAACGCTTAAAATTCAGGAAATTCGATCTCCAAAAACGAATGATTCTAATTGCAGCGCCAGTGGTCTAAGTAAAATGATCCAAGTCATCATATGTTTCAACAACACAGACTTTACGGTTATCTCCACTCGGATTCACGAAATATCACATCGACAGATTATATTCCAGCACCGGCAAATGCTATATTCATCAAGCATTTTACAAATGGTACAGATAATTAAGTCATATATGATCAGGCTAAATTCAGTTCTAGTGTTGTCTCACTCGTCTCAATTCCCTTGTACTATTTAAGTGTCGCGAGCATTATCGCAATATAGGAATTTCCAATCAATGATCGAACTGGCTCTCCCCAACACAGCACGTGATCGTTCCTTACCCATGCAATACTTCTATAAACTAAGGATTTTTCAATGTATAAAAAGTCATTAAATGTATATAATTAACGTTGAATGAATAGAAATACAAACAACAAACCTAATATCCTAACAACCTGCAACCCTAACACTTGCACAAGACAAACCGGGCATTTCAACAGCTAATAGTGCACTTTTCTATTTGTTCTGAAGTTTCAAGTCCAGAGACCATAAATCGAGAAATACATGACTTGCGGCCTATAATGAATAAAATAATAAACAAATTAAATTAAAACACGAAAATTGTAAATATAATACAACACTCTTCACGATTAAATTCAACAATCACAAATATCAGAGAGCTTTCTACTTACTATATTACTATATATACTTACTAATCGCCCTACTACTGGAGGTCACGGTGATTGAAAGGTGATTGAAGACTGAAAATAATGAACCAAAATCCTAAAACTAATACATTACACTTACAAATTATAAATAAATATATATATAAAGCAAGTAATTTAATCTATTTCCGCTACAACCCCGTAAGCATCTAAGTCCACATCCTCAAAGAAAACAGGGGAATTGTGAATCGAAGAGTTACTAGTTAGCTATGAATGAACATGCAATGCTGTTAACTAAGCATGAAAAATCATAATAACTATATATTGAGCAATTTTCTGTAAATAAGTTATACAGGAAATAATGCATGGGTTCTATAACATTCTATAATGCATGGGTTCTAATACCATTAGAACTTTCTCCTCAAAAATTGGTTTTATGCCGGAATTAACATTACGCTTTTGTAAAGCGTACTTCTTATCATAAGAGCGTGAGGTCATTAAGATTCTACGTAAACGTTTGCTATTGGTATGGAAATTATTCTGTAAAATAAGATAATGTAATATTCATAAAATATGTGATCGATTTCAAAGGGATAATGGTAACATCCTAAATGTGTTTCGCACACTCCTAGCACAACATGGGTTGAATGTGTGTCTCTAGGTTGATGTTGTGACGGTCGCAAAGAAGTTTTCCTGACTAGGAAAACCCAGACAGGCGAACTTGGATTGAGTAACGCACGTTCCGGCGAGGTTGAGGTTGACCCAACACACATCAAAAATGTAACTGAAATTGGCCAAAAATACGTCTTATCCGTGCTGCATTTGGCCCAGCATACGTCACAAGCGTGGCTGAGATTGGTCCAGCACACGTCAAAACGTCAAAAGCCGGAATGAGATTAACCAAACACATGTGACTACCCAGCATAGTCACGAGTGATTAGTTGTGACTACCCAGCACCCGTCACAACTGTGGTTGAGATTAACCCAACCACTTATGCTAAGTGAGGTTGAGATTAACCTCACCACTTATGCTAAGTGAGGTTGAGCTTAACCTCACCACTTATGCTAATTAAGTGAGGTTGAGATTATCCCAACCACTTATGCTAAGTTCGGTTGACATTTATTAATCACTTATGCCAAGTGAGGTTGAGTTTAACCCGACCACTTGTCACAAGTGTGGCCCGTGGGCACCGGAGTGACGCGGTGGTCGCGGTGCGCGGAGGGCCCGTGTTCTTGCACTGAAGACACGCGAGCCGTGAGCTGCTGGAGGCTGGAGGGCTTGGACCGTGTGCCGAGAAAACAACATCTGCCGGTCGACGTCCAGACGCTGTGAGGCTTTGTGTACATCACTGTTACCATATCCATGTGAATCATTTTATAAATCATTTTCGATATTCTGGAGGAAAAAAATCTATTGGCAAGAAATAAAGCATTTATAGTTTATGTGTTTATTTAAAACACTCGTAATGTTATAACAAAATATTATACCAGAATATCAACAGTTATTTTAGTTGTAAAAAGGAATTTGTGCTTTCTACCTATAATGTGTGCGTACCTAAGTAGTTATTTTAATTTGCTGTCCACTATTAAATTCTACGGCAACATAAAATAAGTTAAAGTATAGTATGTTCCAAAACGGAATGAGATGATAGACACACTAATATACTATAAATAATGCTACTTTCTAATGTATTTAATGTTCGTAACATTTCCGGGTCGTTTGCCTTACAGAGACCTGAGCATGAACAAGCTACGTTATCTTCACAAGAATTCTTTCAACCGATTGACACACCTAGAGGAGATGTGAGATTGTTTTCTTTTTTCTCAGATTCATAAAAGCTGGGATCGTCAATAGTTTCTCTCATGAAAAATTCATAAATGCTAGATTTTTATGCTTTGACCAGCAAAACATTGCTAAAAACTTTCATTAATCTATTTTAAGCAAATCATACCAAGCATTAGTAATTGATTGAGTATTGTGCTCTTGCTTAGTTAACCCGACCACTTAAACTCAACTTAAATTTTCTTAAAACGTCATGAAAAATTCATTAAGCATGAATTAACTTATCTCTCTCTCTCTCTTACATGAGAAATTCTTATGCCAGATAGCCCATTACTACAATTATTGATCAATGAATTACAACAACAATTACAATTGACAATTGCCCATTGCCCATCATAATTTCATCGACTAATAAGAATTATATATTTAGCAATCACTGTTCGAATATGCTGCGCTACTCTACAACTATAAATATTATCAGGAGTTGTTTTTCTTCCTGAAAAATGAAGTAATTCACGCCTGAGATCAAAAGGATCGCTGACTCGAGTAGAGACCAGCGATCCCAGTTATATTTTAGGCTTAGGGCTCCTTTAGTTCGGCCTGAAAAATGCTGCAAAGTTTCCGCGATAGCGTGGCCAGGGTTCAGTGAGATTTATCATGCAGGTGTGATACTTCGAAGAGTGCAGGATCTTGCGTTTCTGGCTCTTCGAATTTACGGCTCATGCTCGAGCAAGTTTGTTCAAAACGCTGTATTACTCTTTTTGTGATACTTATGAAAAACGGCATATGTAAATAAATCTAATGTGATACTTCAGTAAATCAGAATTTTCTTCATTCGTAACTGATAATTACATATAAATTAAGATTTTCAATCATCATAACTGAATTATGCTTTTTCGAAACAACTTATATGCATATGATGGGAATTTTCCAGAGACCTGAGCGAAAATGACCTGCAGCAGCTGCCTCCTAGCATTTTCTTTGATCTGGAGAATCTACAGCACGTGTGAGTTATAGACAAGGTCAATAACTCGCACTCTCACAAATATTATTTCACCAATAGTTTTAAATGTGGTTCGTTCATCAATAAAGGATGTGATTTGAACAACCTTTAATCGTATCTTTCTTTGTGTTCGTTACGACATGCAAGCATTATTCCCGACCCTATCTGAGATGTATCATGAAAACACAGATATTAATTTAAAGCCAATAACGTATTGATTGCGAAGGGTAAGTGAATATTGCATTAAATAAAACTGGTTACAAATTATCTCTAAATTTATGTTAAGTTCACCTAGATTTTGTCTCTTGTCTAAAGTCTAAGAGCGATTGCAATTTTTTGCATGTAAAACTTGCTGAATTAATCAACTTTATAGACTTGTGATGTCACGCATGTTGCCTCTTATAGAAGATCAGAGACGTGAGTCGCAATGTACGGCAACTCGCACAGCAACCGATATAATACTTCGCAAGTTTTCAAGCCCATGAAGCCCGATCAAACTTACGATTCTGATTGAAAAGGCAATTTATTTTCCAATTTAAATTTGTCCGTGATGATGCAAATGACAGTTTGGTATTCACTGCTTCCTTTCATGTGTTCAGGAAGCTACGAAAAAACAGCTTACGTCACTTGCCCCCAGACCTCTTCATGGATTCAAGATCCCTGCAGACCATGTAAGATTTCCCGAGCAATAGCCCCTTTTTTTGGTTAGGCTGTAAGGTTACATTAAAAGTGCTCGAAACTGGCAAATTCGGTAGAGGCCCTTCACTGAAATATGCGAGAAGTTTTGAGCTAGCATTCTTCCTAGAAAAACTGTGAGTAGCGTGAGTTTGACGAAGATGTAAGAGGAACAAAAATTTAACGTCATAACTTTGATTGATACCAACGTGTTAGCTATAAAACGAACCATTGATAAAATAGGATAGTGATAGTGATTAAGCATTTGAAATTGATTAGCATTTGATAGTGATTTTCATTTGAATTCTTTTAAAAATAAGTTAAAAACGTTCAAACAAAATTAAACTGTATTAGCTAATAAATTTACCGGCAAATTCTAGGTCAAGCTTTCAATTTATTTCCGTAATTTCTGTAAATTTAGGCGATATGAATTTAATTAAATAATTAAGGTGAAAATGCGTCTATGTCTTTCAAGTGGACGACCCAGCCGCTTTTATCATAAATATCTGAATCTGTTCCTTATTCTGCTGAAAACGAGTCGCTTGAATACAAGATACGGACTCTCAACGCCCGTAATAAGTAATGAAACATTTTCCAGAGCATCAAAGGGCTTTAAAAATTAGATTAATCGCATGAGCATCACGGGCAGAGTAGAGCGTCATTCACTTCAAAAGCCTTCACCATGAATGTTTTGTTCTGGTGCGAATGGTACAGGTAACGGCAGCCCATGAAAAAGCCTCGTGCATATTAGTACGACGTTCATCTTCAACTCTCGATTTTTTACACCATATCTAGTTCTTTATCACACTTATTTTATGGTCATCTAATTTATTGTACTATAACACGATAATTGAGAATGAAATACCGCTCAACATAAGTTATTTACTGATTCATTATTTTACTTCTTTACCGAAAGAAGCTTCTGAGTACCTGACCACAATCGCATTAAAAATAAATCACTTCCAGCAAACGTAATCATCAAGTTTGCCTATTAATTAACTATCGTTGACTGCGTAAGTAGTTACTAAGTAATTAATCTCGCATAATGAGGACGGATGCATAAAGAATTTACATTTTCTACCCTCACAGCGAAGACGTAAAAATGTATTGATTTTCTGCGTGCATAATTTGGCTTGGTTCTGCTTCATCTCCATTCAGGCAGAAATATGCTTGAATTTCTTGCTATTTATTAAATCCATTTTTTTAAATTAGTTTAGTAAGATCGATAATTTCTTGCATTTGTGAAAAGACGGACAAATTTTATGGGTTGTTTACCCAAAATTGAATGGACATATTTTTGTACAATGTGCTCACCACTAATTCCCGAAGAAAGCTCATGATGTACTGTAATTTTAGCATCTACATAATTGTATATCCTGCTTATACTTGCATTAATAAGCGTATTACACTCTATTTTTTATGTTGCGGCGGCAGCGACGCAATTCATATTTTTAGTAAAATAATCATTCAGTATCATTTCTATGCAAAGACTCAAATTGATTTTATAGTCTATATATTGCGTTGCGGGAGCAGCGACGCAATTCATATTTTTAGTAAAGTAATAATCATTCAGTGTCATTTCTATGCAAAGACTCATATTATAGTTTGTGTTGCGGGAGCAGCGACATTTCAGTGAACGCCCTGGAGAGCCTGCCAGGCAGCACGTTCATGGGCCTGCCTCACCTACACACGCTCAGCCTCTCCGACAACTCGCTCACGACGCTGCAGGCCGCCACCTTCTCGCAGCTGCGAAAGCTTGAGGAACTCGACTTGTCCGAGAACAAAATCCAGGTGAGGTCTTCACTTCCTAAAAGTTCTATTGGAATATGCTAAGTAATAAGAATTATTGATGCTGACGTATTTACAAATATTTGATTATTGATGAGCGAAGTAGGCTAGATCGTACATGGGAAATTCTATTCACTAATGAATTTGTTAATTCAATGTGAATGAGTGAGTCATTCACTTGAGAGTGAATGATCTGAGCATTGTTGTAGCAGTGATTCATTGCTTCGTTGCTTTGTTTTTCTTCTGCAACTAGAACTGTCTAATTATTTTCCTTATTCAGAGGTTGAAAAATGACATAAGAAATGTAGTTTAAAAAATATTCTGAAACCGATTGTTGCATCCACGTGACGCAGGTGTGGCCTCATCTAAACATATCCGTGGAATATATTACTATTTTTTGCAACAAAATATTTAATTTTCATGCAGAATTAATTTCATCTGCAGGACCTGCCCAGGACCGTGTTCAGCTCGCTCAGTCAGCTGCGGCAGCTGCACCTGCACCACAACAACATCGAGCACCTGGCACCTGATGTGTTCTCGCCTCTGACGAGCCTGGAAATGCTCAGGCTCGACCATAACAAGGCGAGCAACTAACACATCCTGGCAGGTTAACTTGCCGGTGATCGGGACACATGATCTTTATGATTTGAGAATTCTGTTCTTAAGGTAAAATCTAGCATCAATTATTAAATGGTCGTCCATGAATTCATATTACTTTTATATCTGCACTCAAATAACGTTTAAAGTCTTACATTTATCTTTAAAATAATAAATATATTTAAAAAATACTCAGGTGCTTGGCCTAGCAGTTCTCGTAGTTTAACTCCTCCACAGGAGTCTCTTCCCCAGAACCCCACGTAGGGCAAGACAGAAATATCGCTCTAGTCCTGACAACTTAAAGGCTCCGTAGAGGAAGACTTGAATAAAATCTCACTGAAATTAATTTGGCGAGAACGAAACCTTCCACAAATAATTTTCGAGGACGCAGAGTGTTTCTCTGAAAGAAACTTCAATTTTTTGGATATGATAGTATCTTTTATCAGAAAATCTGCCGTTAATTGAATTGGTTTACAAGAAGATTCTAATTAGGACAATTCACAGGATCTCAGCTCTAAAAGATGTTTATCATTCTACTTCATTAACCATAATTTAGCGACCCTCTGGACAATACTTTGAGGAACGAGCTGATAAATGAAGATATAGGCAAGCAAAACAAGAATGGACTGGAGGCTAAAGAAATCTTTTCTTTATTTAAAAAATTTCAAGATGGTATAAATAGCCATCAATTCCACGAGATAGTTAGTTTGGTGCTGCCTAATTTTGGTAGCGGCTCCTCTTCAATAAGCGTGAAGAGGCAAAGGAGCCGCAACTCGCTCCTGCGTCTGCCCAACCCGAAAATTCTGAAGAAAAGGAAACGGTGATCAGGCAAGGCACAAAGTTCAGCTCAAAGTAGGCGAAAAAACGCTCGATGCAATGAAAGGTCTTAAATGACAAAGTTTGCAATCGTAGCAAAAGTAGGTCGAGCTGGTGCAACTTGCTGCCACACGTTCCGAGTAAGAGCAATCTTTATTATTGGATAATCATGAATGAAGTCTTAAAATTACCAATAAATATTAGAGTATGGATAATTTACGGGCTTTATTATTTATTCGGGTTTCAAGTGAAAAGGAACAGGATTTAACACCTCATCACCGCTTGCTCCGTGCCTACGAAGATAGGGTGACGTACCTGAAGTGCTAAAAAATCCTTCGGTGAATCGCTGGTGAGGTGCCGGTTCTTGGAGCTGATCCACGCCCGCGCAGAGGTAAGATGCCGGGGTCAAGGTACTGGTCGCATCCAAAACGTCAGGTGTACCATCGAGGTAAGTCGTAGCGCAGACGACATCCACTTCAGCACGTGCCCACGCATGCGTCCAAAGTCCCGACAGAGCTCAAGCTAAGCTTCCATTGGTTGCTTTAATCCATAGTTTCAAAGGTGAACAGGGGCCAAAGATTCTTGAAAAGGTTAGTCCATACCATCTAACTTGAAGCGTATACAGGAGAGTTTCAAAATGAATCTGGCCCAAAACAGCACCTTAGGAGTTGCTGCTGTGAGGTCAGGCAACGAACTGGCACAAATTCTTCAGAGAAAGTGAAGTCAAGTATTGGGCGAGATGTTAGTTTCACGTGGAATGTGCACATTAAAACTACTTCAAACGTCACCCAAATCATTTGTGGCACAGAGCAGGTGAGGATGGAAAATTTATGCCCGAAATTTATCAAACATTAAATTAATGAAAACTAAATCATAGTTTTTTGATCACCCTCAGAGAATAAAAATTCAAGAATGCAATGAGAATCAAGTGTAACAGTTAGGATATTGCCTTCAGCTAACTCAATTTTTTCCTTGAGAGTTCTGAGGAGCATAGCATTCTTGAGTGCAAATCTTGGCAAGAAAAAACTTTGGCAATAAAGATTTCATTTAAAAGTATAGTTAGATTAAAATCCGGACCTAACTTAGCTCTCTAATTTAACATCTACAATAAAAGTTTGAGAAAAGCGGAGGCCGTTAGCGTTGAACGGTGGGAGAGCTTAGCTCCCATTCTAGAGTTTTGATCTATACGGACTAACTATGCGAAAGAAGCCAAACTGCCTCTAAAGTTGCTAGGATGTTTGTTAGGAAAATATTACACAGTGAATGCGTCCAATATCCGTGACAACTTAACTGCTTCTGCCAGTCTGCCACTGAAGAACAATAATAGAGTGATTATTTTAAAACGAATTATTAGACATGACTTTATTGAAGCAATCAGAGCACAGTTGTTCTACGGTTTTCACATCATATATTCTGTATAATTATATTAAAATTTAATATCATATCAAATAACCTGCAAATCATATTAATTTGTTTCGATTTAGAAGACTGCCCATTTCCCTTGAATTTGAATGTTAGTTGAAATTCCTAATATTTTGTAATCAGAATAGGACTTATTCGTCAATGCTATGGCTGAAATGAGTCTGATTTAGGGACTGAATATCTCGTTCACTCCGGCTTTGATGTAGCCGTGTGCTCATCAAAATTTTACCATTGCGCTACGAAATTGAATTACAAAGTTCCATTTGATCGAAAAATCAATACACTATGTAGAAGCGAATTTTTGATGAAACAGTTCAACTGCACGAGTTTTGGATCCAAATGAACAAACTCATGAATAGATTATCTAATCGTAAAATAACAAAAAAAAAAACAGTTTTTTCTTTAAAATGTGGTGTATGATCAGGTCAGGCTTTAAAATTTTCAATCACATGTGTTAAAAAAGTTATTTTAATTTTTTACATCCAATGATGTATACAACTTGCTGCTTCAAAATAATTTTAACGCATCTAAGAAGAAATAATAACACGAAGCAATATTGTACAAATCGTTCCAGTTGAAGGTGCTACCACCCAGTCTCCTGAGCCACCAAGCGTCCCTGGCGATGTTAGAGCTCACAGGCAACAGCCTCGAGTCTGTGCAAGCAAGCGACTTCTTAGGGCTGCGCAACCTGAAGGAGCTTTATCTCGGCCAGAACAACATCGGGAAAATACTCAACCGCACGTTTGCTGGTCTGTAATGTCAACAATTATTTTCTACTTTTTTTACATAATTTAGTTATTTTTAAATACGGGGATGAAGTATTGAAATTACCATTTCCCATAACATTGATTAATGTGATTAAAGGTTGCTCAAAGAGAAATCATTACTGCAATTGCGTGTCATTAATTTCTCTACTTGTTGCTCCCGCAGGTACCCCGAAGCTTGAGAAGTTATATTTATTTTCTAATAAAATTGCCAAGGTGGAAATTGCCGCTTTTTCCGGCATGAACAACTTAACATGGCTCCTGCTAAACAATAACCTGCTCAGCGACCTGCCCAGGCGCATCTTCGTCCGCTCGCCTAATCTTCTCAGGCTGTACGTTGAACTGGGTAACATTTTCGAATAATAATTTTTTATGGTTGATATATTCTTGAAGAAAAATAGATGAAATGTATTTAAAGGTAACACTTTGAAATGTGTTACTTCTCCAGTCAGATTGACAGCAACAAGTTCATGCGACTACCGCCAGGACTGCTGGATGACTTAGAAAAAGTTGAGCAAGTGAAGTTATCTCGTAATCCCTGGCACTGTGACTGCAACATCCTTTATCTCACCAAGTAAGAAGGGCTGAATGTCATGCTGCTCTGCAACATCCTCTATCTCACCAAGTAAGAAGCGCTGAATGTCATGCTGCTCTGCAACATCCTCTATCTCACCAAGTAAGTAGCGCTGAATGTCATGCTGCTCTGCAACATCCTCTATCTCACCAAGTAAGTAGCGTGTCGCTTTAACTTCTTCTAACTCACTGATTGAATGTCATGCTGCTTGTAAAATGCTCTCTCATACCAATAAATTTACAGCATTACTGGGTCCTTACTTTAATTCAAGTGTGCGATGTGTTGTGCTTTACTTCTTCTGTTTTTAAAAGTCTCATATATGCCTTAATGGACTAATTTATATAATTTTAGTGGAGTGTTTTTATAAATATATTGGCCTCAAATCTTGTCACTTGAGTTATGAATGTGTTCCCAAATAATATCACAGCCTAATGCACTTCTTTTCAAAGAAAGTTATCACTTATTGATTGAGAAAGAATAAAAAAGTTATTTATAGGGAATGGGAATTATCTAAAAAATCCTCTTTAAAAAAAACTTTATACCTTGAGGAATAAAAACTCTTCATTACCTATATAACTTCTAGAAAATTTAATGAAAAATGCCCACGGCGAGAAACGTTTGCTAATTAATTAAGAGTAATTAGTACTAAAGTTTAGCAGTTATATATGATAATAACCTAGCAAATTAATACCCATTCTTCAAATATATATGCCCACCACTGAAAGACTCACTTTTGACCTGACATTTAATTAATAGTTTAGGGAAGCATGAATGCTACAGACCTACAGTGCACTCATCATAAGCACTTCCTCATTTCCTTAAGAAATATATCGAACGCTTTCACATTGAGCACGAGCCACCAATTAGATCTAACAAAGACTTGTTCTTCAAAGAACGCCTCTGCTAAGACTAACGAGATAATACTTATAGATGAGAAGGATTTGAGCTCGCGGTTATCATAGATAATAATTACTCTCATTTTATATCGCAAAATAAAACTTTAATAAGTAAATTCGTATCATTATTCTTTTAATCACATATGTTCGAAGAGAGTTGGAAATTGTAACCCTTCGAATACTTATTTTAATTAATTTGTAAATTTAATGAAATTATGAACGATCCTTACTATAATAAAAACTATAACTAATGCTGGCGAAATAAGGCAGAATTTAAGTATAATTTGTTAGTTAAGAGAATGTAAAATTAGAATTGAGATCAATTTATAGGAGCTCAGTACTGGTACAATAAAATTGGGCAACTTAGTGGCAAGTTAACATGACGTAACCCGGAGGATACGAGTGATCAATTTCACCAGCAGTCTGCTGGGATCGATGGTAAGAATATCAGTGTAGGAGGAATGGGCTAGAAAAGATCAGTCTGATAGAGGTATGTACCTAAAAATTGAGGAGGAACGGAATGAGGGATTCAGCTTATTCGATGTAGGATCCTAATAATTGAGGAGGAATGAGATGAAAGGGTTCAGCCTAATAATTAATAATTGTAATTATCGGCAACTGCGCAGTTGGCTTCACGCTCATGGAGACAAAATCTGGGACCGTCAACCGAAGTGTCGGGGCCCTGGTGACCTCGGCGGCCGCCTCGTGTACGACATGACCTTCAACTCTGTGTGTGATGGCCAGTGGGCCTCCATGACCAACATTAAGGGCAGGGTTTAATGTTACAGTGGGCCTCCATGACCAACATTAAGGGCAGGGTTTAAGGTTACAGTGGGCCTCCATGACCTAGGGTTTAAGGTTACAGTGAGCCTCCATGACCAACATTAAGGGAAGGGTTTAAGGTTACAGTGGGCCTCCATGACCAACATTAAGAGCAGGGTTTAAGGTTACAGTGGGCCTCCATGACCAACATTACCTTCCTTTGTTTAAAAACGCATCCAAATAGGGGAATGGTTTGAAAACAATTGTGACAATTCTAAATTAAATTCAACCAAATTTACATGATTTTGATAAAATAGTATTTAAAAAAAGTTATACCTTGCCAGGTAAATATTTTTTTCTTCTTTGAAAAAATTTATTTTATTTTACGAGCAATACTGATAAATGACTGAAATTTTTCAAAATGCGTAATCAGCAAAAGATAGTGAGGCTTTGTTCGATGTTGTAAAGGGTGATGCAGTGTTGTATCTGTCTTATGTGATGCAGTGTTGTAATTTAGGTGCACTTCATATTAGCTATTGTATAATTAATTAGTTAATTACTTTAAGTATACCTAATAGATTATTTACAATTATAGTCTCTGACCTCTGCTGGAATGATAAATTCGAACCGTTGGAGCAAACGTCCAAGAAATTTTTCGAAGATTCAATTATTGAATAGGAAGTCCCGCTGATCTATTTAGTATCGTACGTACTTTACTTTATGCGTCTGCATTTGAGTTATGTTAAAATGTTTCTGTTCAATGACTCTACAGGTATTTATATACCAATGTTGAGACTCTCCCAGTTCCTCATTCCGAAATCTCTACAAATACGGTCACACTCAGACATTTTCACCTGAATTATTACAAGGTATTTATCCTTCTTATCAATGTTTCTCCTTCAAATCTTGATAAGATATGAATGGACAAGCACACTTGAGCTTCGTATCCACTATGATCAAGACTCTTCAGTATGGACAATAACATCAGCATGCAAGGCTGCCAAGCTTGGTTGTGGAGTTTCATAATAGTGGTTGCCAGTGCTCTGCCTTACCATGAAAAAGCATCACAAAATGTTCAGTCCGACGACTCCATGCTGGCGATGCAACACGCCATGCAGCTCCTCATGACGGGCGGAGAAAAGGGCTTCGACGCTCACTTTTTCGAAGAGTTGAGGGCGTGCATGGCGAAATTTGATCCCGAGTTACCTCGAGCCCAAGACAAAGCATGGCAAGGAATCATCGATTACTGGGACTCCAACGGCACTCCTTCAGATGAGTGGGGTAAATTTCCTTCTTTTTATCACGAGCACAACGTTACTGCATCAACCATGCACGGAATGACCATTTATGAGCCGTGTGACTATGCCTCAAATTTGGCATATTATCATGACGTGTTAGAAATTTGCTTCCGCCAGTTCTCGGGGAGAGGATTTTCTATGTCAGATGAATATGTGAAAGCAATGGGAAAAGGTTTTTCAGCCCTGGCCTGGGGCTCCGCATTCTGGCATGGCAGCAACACCAGACTTGGACGTCAACAGGACCGTAAAACTCTCGCTGTTTTGGCATACGCTTTCCATCAGGCAAGCCTTTCAAATCTTGACTACAAGTCTTCAGTCATCCACGATCTGAGTGCCACTCCACGGGCCAAAACGGCTGTCCAGATCATTGATGATTTCCAGACGATGTACCTCACGCGGCCTGTGAGTGAGTGGTATAACATCACTGAAAGTTTCGACATTCCCGATTACATGCTAATTTATTCTGGTATTTACTGTACGATTTTGACGTTGAGTTTTGATGCCGTTATTGTGGACAGCTTAGTTCCGATGCTTGCGGACGCCTTCAAGCTACCGAAAGATCTTCGTCGCTTCGTCCTCGACGATTATATTCCAGAAATTCGTCGGGCGACATCTAGTATACATCTTCCGCCTGCTGATCATGCCAAACTTTTAGGCAACACACTCAGCACAACCATGAAGCTAATTTACGCCTTTCTGTGGCAAGAACGCGTCTTGACTAAAAGTAAATTGTTTCTCGACCCGATCGTTAATTATATAGGATGGGAGCTTCTGCCTCGAGTAAATCTTATCGCGAATCAATTTAGTTCGTTCCAATACTTCGACCCTGACTTTCAGAACGGAACTAACCTGTACCCTGGAACTTCGTGGTGCAGTCCTCTTATCCCTCACGCCAAATGGCACCTACAGTCCGCCATAGGGCTGCTCGACCTCGCCTACCTCACCGACGAAATTTGCGCTATATTGGCCAAATAGCAAAATTAATGTTAATTAAGAATGGGCAATTATTTCACAAAACAATAAAACTTTTGTGGAAAAAGAATAATGTTCTTCGTAAGTGAGCCGATGATAAAGATTTTGAAAATTGTTCGAAAATAACCCGAAATCTACACTTAAACTTAATCTAAACTTATGAGATATTAGCCACATAAATTATTCATTGTAAAGATACAATAAAGTGCTATGATTTATTTGGTTATCACTCATCCTTACGAGGAATAATTAATCGATTTATCTACTAATTGAAATTAAGTTTGAACATTAAAGGAAAGAAAATTAAACCTCTGTAAAATTCCAGGCCGCTATTATCTCATGGATGAATGCACAACAATAAATACATTGATTATTTATTGATTAATAAATTATAATTATTCTAGAACAAGTTAACAACTAGACTGCCAGGTTCACGGTGATTATATTCAACGCATTTTGTAAATTTGGTAGCTTGTGAATTGTCATAATGTTTTAAATTGTCCTGATCGTACGGCACAGACGAAAGGAGAATAGCCAATAAACATCCGCATACAGAAAAACATATTCCGAGACAGAAAAAAACGATCAGCTCGAGTATTATCGAGAATTACAACACTGAAACAGTCGCTGTATTTCACCAGTGGGCATTAGTACCCTCGCTTAAATAATTGGCAGACCGCAATATCTGCACTGTAATTCCCACTTGTATCTAGAGTGTAGTAATCATTTGAATTCTAGACATGGAAAGAATGATTGGCAAACAAAGTGTTTTGTCTTGAGTATGTTATTTCTATGAGGTTCAATCACATCCTCTTAAAGAGATAATAAGTTGATAGATTTTAGCACATTTTTGTTCCTACCACGCACAAATTCTCAATTGATCAAATTAATTTTCTGAAGAGTAGCTGCTAAATGATCACCCTAAGTCTAAGTTCCCTGACAATTCCAATAAGTCTCAGTTTCGTGATAATTCATGACCAATAATTATGACAGCCTAGACTATTCTATTTTGATTTGCATATTTTTCGTGTGAATCCAAGAGTTTTCGCGATGTAACAATGAATTACGAAGCGATGCTCGGCTCACCAGTCGCCTCGTTCGGTCATTCGTGCACTGAGCCTGGGACGGGACGTGCGTCGGTGTCTGTTACTCCGCGGGAGTCACTCGCCGTACTTCAAGGATGCCGACCTGCAACTCGCACTAGGGTTATAGAATTATTATGAGTGCAAGAAGTGAGGTAGAAAGAAATTTATTCGTAAACAATCTAACGAAAGTGTCACGCAAACAATTAATCGTTTATGTTTGACGAATATAACGTGAATTAAAACGTGATAATGGAGTGAACTAGTTCATGGTAACATTACATTTTCGGGCATATTTTCCGTAATTTTTTTTTTTCAAAGCTTACAAGACCAAACATATGCAGGATGGCATTTATGAATGAATCCTATCATTTGGACAGCCCTTATAACAACAGCAATTACAACGATAGCCTCAATTATAGTTATTACAACTACGATGACCGCATAGAATACGATGAGTTTAGACACTCATTCATCACGACGTTGGTGTACATAGTAGCGTACTCAATAGTGTTTGTGGTGGGCTTGGTGGGTAACGTGCTGGTCATGATGGTGGTCGCTCGCACCCGCATCATGAAGACGACTGTGTTTTACTTCCTGTTCAATTTGGCGCTTGCAGACCTGCTTGTGATAATATTCTGCGTGCCTGCTACACTCATCGGCAACGTGTACACGGGTGAGTGCACACAGTCCACAACTGCAGCGATCATGTGCAACGTGTACACGGGTGAGTGCACACAGTCCCCAACTGCAGCGATCATGTGCAACGTGTACACGGGTGAGTGCACGTAGTCCAGAACTGCAGCGATCATGTGCAACGTGTACACGGGTGAGTGCACACAGTCCACAACTGCAGCGATCATGTGCAACGTGTACACGGGTGAGTGCACGCAGTCCACAACTGCAGCGAATATCAGCAACGTGTACACGGGTGAGTGCACACAGTACACAACTGCAGCGATCATCAGCAACGTGTACACGGGTGAGTGCACACAGTCCACAACTGCAACGCTCATCGGCAACGTGTACACGGGTGAGTTTTCACCGTGCAGCACTGAACTGCTGATTTATTTACGCTGCGTTTGCTGCCTATGATGATTTTGGCGGATCTGGTGGTCACCATCGCATGTACTCCGATATTGCATCCTCATACACTAATTGAATTGAAATCACCAAAATCGTTCACAAAAAGAAGTTTTATTAAATATATTTAATTCCATTTAAAAGCAAAATTTTTTACACGCGTCTCTAAAATTGTAAATTATATTTCTTCGTGAGTCTATTGTGCCTTTAGAAAATATGTATAGATTATATAATATAAATACTATAAAAGAACTTTTGGTTGCATGATACTTCTTATTATTTAAAAACATTCTTAAAAATATCCCGATTCACAGCCTACGTAAAATTATTCATTCTTGGTATGCGCTGAATAAATGAAGCCCTCCCTGTAGCTTCGCAGCCTCTAGAGTGAAGGCACCTGTCTCTTGAATATATGAAGGCCGCCCTGTAGCTTCGCAGCCTCTAGAGTGAAGGCACCTGTCTCTTGAATATATGAGAAGGCCTCGCTATAGCTTCGCAGCCTCTAGAGTGAAGGCATCTGTCTCTTGAATATGAGAAGGCCACGCTATAGCTTCGCAGCCTCTAGAGAGAAGGCCCTTGTCTCTCGTACCAGGTTTCTGTTATCCGTGGCTAAGTTCAGAAAAATTAGAACACGCCACAAAAGAATTCACATTTGAAGAATTTATCATTTTATTAGTTTAACTTATTTCTTGTAGTCGTAAAACTCGTTTAGTATAAATTTTGTGGAAAATTAAAAAATGAAAGTCACCTCTATAAATTACCAGTGGCATGAACGAAAACATTTTTATTAATTATAGATAAAGATGCACGATGATAATAATTTGCTGAACTCAATAAGCATTTTTAAGATTTTATTTATTCGTGTCCAGAATGAAATTACTCGTTGAAGAATAAATTTTTTCTCATCGCACAATGGGGAGTTGTGCTAATGTTTCGTCATGTATAGAGAACCTTCCAAATTGAAAAATACGTTCAATTGGCGTTAATGTCGGGAGCATGAAAAGTTTCAATGAAACTATTTTCCTTCTTAATATCTTTCGATGAGATTAAAATACCCTGTGGTGGAATGGAATTTCTAGATTAAAATCTACCGCGGAGCAATCTAGACCTGCCTAAAGTCTTCTCTCTGTAAGGATTGCTTGCGGTGCTGATCAGACAAAAAACTATTGAATTTCTTGGTTCAAGTGGCCGAGCATTTAAAGTGTAAAATAAAGTTTAGAATCTAAACGAATCCAAAACTTTACCGCTAGCAGGAACACCAAAAATAAATGTAATCAGCCAGTGACCCGTACCCTCGCAATTGGGGACAATGTAGAAGTGCTCTGCGCTTAGCATTGCCAAATAATTTACAATAGAGACACTTAGTATCTTGGCAAATTTATCGATACTGTAGAGCAGCGCGGCTGAAGCAATCAGCTGGATTGCCCTCTGAAGATGTGTAATCAGCCGTAAGTATTGCACAACTTCCATGCTGGTCAAGGGTGAAGAAAGTCTACGGAGGCCTACTTCTTACTTACATCGTCCGTCTTTTAGATGTAACCGAACTATAGGACGGTGAACGGTGAGAATTATGCGCAGGCATGCAAGCGTTGCATGCGTATAATTTTTTGCGGAGTGCCGTGGAGAACTTTCTCGAAATGTTTGCTCCTTTTGAGTATCAGTTTAATAACGCTGAAATTTTAATTATGCTTCAATTTAAAAAAAATAATGTTTTATATTAGCAAAACTCTCGATCGTAAGCTATATTTCTCGACGATTAAGCATCTGATTCCGTATTAAATTGAACGAACCTTTTCTCTGTTCCAGTTTACGCAGAGGGGAGATACGATCGTTCCGAGCAACGGATGATTTTTAAAACCTGAAGGCGAGATGTCAATTGCTTCGATCACCAGATAAAGTTCGCTATAAAGGCATTTTGCCGCAGGTTCGTTAGACACAAGACAGCGTAGAACTTCTGTGCTGATGCCAATGGCTTTCGACAGTCGATGATTGCCCGCAAATCCAGCTCGACGCTTCCGGGGTATTGATGAGACTTAAATGCGGAACATTCAACTTCGATAGCTCAAGAAATTCGGTCTTTGAAAAAGTTAAAACTTTATTGGGCAGGCGCTATAATGGATTTCTGTGTAAACATCTCAAGCAATCTTTAAACGATCAAAAAATCAAGAAAATAACTTTAGCGAGACTATTACTATAACAGATGAAAAGAGTGTTTTAATCGAACATTCCCACTTTTACGTTATATATCTCAGTGTTGGAAAATTTATTGCAAATAAATATTATTATTAATAATTATTATAGAAATGTAATTTTATTTCCTGCTAATTGTAAGGAGAATTGAACCTGATGGCATCATTATTCCATCATCAACATGACTAAAATCCAGAGTTCAAAATGCCTTACTGCTCATCGGCTTCACAGGACATTATATTTGCGAGTTTTATGATTATTAATTTAATTAATCAGCATACTATTTTAGGATACATAGCATTTTTCGCTGCCCAGAGAAAATGTTATTGTAAGGAAGAATAATATAAATGAACATCCGACTAATACCGTTATAAGGAAAAAATTATTTGTCGCCTGTTGTTCGTATTTCGGAAGGCCGATGCGTTCAGTAACTTTAGGAACTTTCAAGACGAGGCTTGAAAACAAATGTTGGTAAAATATGGCTCTCGTAAACTTTGCAGAATACAGTCGGGGCATGTCAGAAATTGATAATATTCCAACCAGATACTTTGAATATCCTTATTTCATTACATAATAAAAATTGAAGGAATGAAATATGCTGAATCAAACTAACATAATGACATAAAACGCTGAAGATAAAAACGAAACCGGAGAAACTTCTTGGGAACAGTAGATCACATTTTGAAGTAAATAAATTATTCTTGACAAAAACCTGAAGAAGTCGAAGATACATGCATCTTTCTGAAACATAGCAAATCCACTGAATATTGTAAATGATGCGATTTCATTCGTGATTCAATGGCGACGAATGAATTTAGAATATTAAAATAGATGTGGCCACGATTTCAATATTCTTGTTTCAACTTTCTAATTTGAACATTAATTTTTTAAATCCTAAGAACAATAATTATTCGTCGATTGATCATAGTCAAAAGAGTTACATTCCGAAAAAGATATTGGTTCATGGAGAAAATTGGGCTAATTAAGTTCATTGATGGACAACAATTTATGTTTACATAAAGCCACTTTATTTATTATTTACATGTCAATTTTATTTTTAACTCATATTCCTAACTCCTAACTTTTAACTCATATGCCTAATTGCATTGTCTATTGTTATATATTGCTTGTCTTCTTCTTTTAGAAATGGCTGAATTAATCTATCCTAGTGTATCTCTTAGAGATGATCTTCTTATCCCATCGTCATTATATGTTATTGTTTTTCGATTGTATAATATCGCTAATGTCGCCTGTGAAGCTTTTTAGCTTATATGGGCATTCGCATGGAAGCATTTTGTATTTTTTTCTCCAAATTTTTGTCATTTTCTTGTTATGAATTTTTTTTGTATGCTCCTGTGTGAATAAAGAATAAAGAATAAAGAATAAAGAATAAAGAATTCACACTTACATTATCAATAAACTCAATATCTGATAACAATTTCAGGCATTTTAAAATGCAGCTAAGTTGCGGTATTAAAATTAGCGCTGTAAAACTTTGGTGAGAAAATAATGAGCAGCGAAATGCGCTAGAATGTTGTTCTATTTCTGTTGTCCAGAAATGAAATAAATTAAAATATTTTTCGTTGTTCTAGGAGAATGCAACGCTCCTGTGCTTTGAAATTCATGCATTATGAAACCTAGAGCTAAAAAATGAAGATGAATTCTGATCCCGGGGTTTGTTTTTGGTGCAAGATTTCTTAACTCATATCCTTCAAACGAGTTACTTGAGGCGGCATAGCGTAAAAAGTCAACAAACGCGTGTAAAAGTCAACAAACGCGGCATGAAGACTGATTTGTATCATAAAAAATATTTTTGCTCGAAAATGAATATTTCTAACCAAGGTTTTGTATCAAAAAATTAAATTTATACTTGAATTTATTATTTTGCGCGTAAAAGTTAGAAGGAACCTTTAGGTTTCCACGTGCAAAATGCAATTACCGCAGACGACACCTGTGAGGCGCCGGCCAACATTGTCTCCTTGTTAACAGGAATTGCTGAGAATTTGATACCAAAAAAATGAGCCTCAACTGCATGCCTGAGAGGACGAGCTCATTTCCTTGCACAGCACGAGGCTGCAATACAGCCTTGAATATATAATCCGGCGAGCGCTTTCTCGACGAGGGCAATTTTAACCTCGTTACTAGCTGGACACATGCCTGACAGAGTTCACTTATGATGCACGAATGTCAATAAGAAATAATAATTTTATGCTTCCACACTGTCATTGTAGATGTCTGTTTTGAAAATTAACCTCATTCGGATATATTTGGTATATACATCGATCCATTTGTTTCGTGTAATGTTTTCATTACATTAATATTATTATGGTCCAAAATGAGTTCGTTAGCAAGCACAATTTTTACCTTCATTGGGATATTTACATGGTATTAAGTGTCACATAT